ATCTGAAAGAAAATTTAAAAAGCATGCATATTTTTCATTTATAATGGACAGCCTAGATATTTAAAAAAAAATTGCATTTGACTATTGTAGATTTTGAGATTCACACCCAGGTTCAGTACATTTTGGGTCAAAATCCCGAACAACAGATTATCGAAGAACATAACACCGACTAAATTGGCCAGCATTATGGCTAGTGCCGGCTAACTTTGTCGGTATTCGTTCTTTCGGGGATCCGTTTTTCGGGATTTTGACCCAAATTCGTTTAGTACATAGGGGGTCTTGTATACGGCAGTTTACGGTAATATCTTTAAACTTGTTATTTAATGTTTCTAAAAGATGTTTAATTTCTTGATATGTATAAGAACATTATATTTGAAATCTAACTGTTGTGTTGGAATGTTTAAAATTTTGATTATTTATAACGTATCTATATTGGCAAAACTCTAAGATAAAAGCCCTTGTAATAAATATTATAATAACTTTTAAAGATTCTTTGATAATTCATTGCACCTTCGAAGTGCAGAACTTACTACATTAAAAATTTAATGTATTTAATGTCAGAAAATTTAACAGAAATCTTTACGTATTAAAAATTGTTTGGCAACGAATTCATTAAATATTGCTTTCTAGATTCTTAAAGTCTCAAAGGAATATTAATTATCGTTGAATTGTACTTAGTAAAAGGTAGAGCTTGGATCCGGTGGATAGCGACTATTCATTTAATCTATTTTTAGGATAGTTGCGAATTTCAGATATCCGTTTGTAAATTATTCGACTAAATCCGTTGAGTTAATCAAAAATATAGTCGATTCTAGATATCATGAACTTTTTATAACAAACAAGCTAAATAGAAATTTTGTCAAATTTAACAAATTTTTACTATAGGAATTTATAAAATTTCGCTTGAGGTTTCGCTAGATAATAATCTTAACTATCCATTATTACGATTATGAATAAGTAATATAAAAAATTTTTTTTGTGCTCAAAATAAAATACGTATTTATAAGAAAAAATTCTATAATCAAAGTTACGTATAAATATGTCATTTGTTCACGCCAATATTAATGCATCATTGTTATTAATCGAAGTATCAGATAGTTTAATAGATATCCAAAAAATTCTCATTATTATTAATCGAAGTATCGGATAGTTTAATAGATATCTGACTATCTGCAAATATATTTTCGTTATCCGATAAGAACGGAAATCTAATAGAAATTTTTTGAGCGAATCCAAGCACTAGTAAAAGGAATTTCATCAAGTCCTAATCCATTCTCTTCCTTTAAAATACATAGTACCATTCTCTAACAAATAAGCTTCTTTTAATAAAAAAGAAAAAATTTAGAGCTATGTACGTATCACATTACAATATAAGCCAGTTAGAAGTTCAAGGAATCCAGTGATGACTTCATGATAATCATATTACATGATTAAGTGTTCGGCCTACGTTAGGGTTAGTGTTAGGGTTAGGTGATAGGTTAGTTTAGGCTAATTTGTTTAGTGCTAGTAAACAAATGATGAATGATTTTACGTGATGTGATGATCACTGGGTTTCTTTTTCTTTAAGTGTCCCGCTGGATACAAGTTTCTAATTTACTCAATATTCAATAACGATATTGACTCGATTAGCGCATTTTTCGGAATCATGCGCATGATCGCATGAAAAATATATACAGTATATATAAATATTGATGAAAATGCGCAGTGGCATCTCATCACATCTCTACTCATAATACTGCAGTTATTATACTGTAACAACTGCTTCCAAAGATTTGTAACCTCTTTCACGTCATTTCATTTTTCATTTTTATTTTATTTTTTTTCGTTAAGACTGGTCGTCAAATAGTCAAAAACGATGTTTTTGCAAATAATACAGAAAAAAAAGAGAAAATTAAATTATATATATCTATGAGTTAAAAAAGAATTAAAAAAAAAAAAATTAAGAAAAAAATATATATTAAAGAAAAGCATTGAAAAATTTTTATCTCTTACATCGTACCGTAGCAAATTATCGTTTCTAAACAAAAGCCTTTCATTAAGCGAATTTCACCTTTTTAAACTCATCATTCTTGATTAGAGCTGATAAAATTTAAGATTTCATATAGAATTTAAACTATGAATAACGAAGAAAATTATAAATTCACTAACAATCAATTTTCGATTAAAATTTATTTACGTTAAAGGTTATTTCGGAATTGAGAACAGCTAGCTCCGATCGTAGTGGTATAATGGACTCGTACAGAGACCTCCCCAAAAATTTCCACATCGCTGTACTCCGATTAATGTTATCGAAAGAATTCTATGATAATTTCGATGATGCTTTGTAACTAAATAAATATTAGAATAATAATAAAATTTCTTTTTCTTATCCAAGTAAGAAGGATGAAAAAAAAGAAAAAGCATCATCGAATTATAAAAATTCTTTCAATAAACGTAATAGAATTAATCGGAGTACAGCGGAATGCGGAAATTTTTGGGGAGGTCGCTGTATGAGTTGGTAAAATGCAGCAAATAACAAGTAAGTACGATAACAAGTAAGTACGATAACAAGGAATTCAAAGGAATAATAATATGAGAAAATCTTCTATTAGGCTACATAATCGGTTTCATTATCATTTTTATCGTATCACTAGTATATTCACTGTAACAATGTCTACTCATAATGAGTTGAGCTATCCTATGGGTCTGCAAAATAGAATGCTTGCACTTTTAAATTATTGTCCGGAGTTAATGAAGGACACTTAATGAGCGAGTAAAGTATTGTCAAAATTCCGGTTTTGACGCATTGAAAGAAGCTCTGATTCTGACGCATAACATTAGTATAAAATAAAATAAAAACACAGTAGCAATAAATCAAACCGGTTTGAAAAAGGATTTATGTCCATTCAAATGATACGCTATGATCGTTACTCTAAGCCTCCGATGATCCTAAGTTCCCATTTCATTTTAAATCCAATGCACGTTATAATTAATGCAGTAATGCGGGAATTGATGGAGTGCAAATTAAAATCAAATCTAATTCATAAGCAAGGGAACAAGGGAAAAAATAAAAAGGTTCATATCAAAAAAAAAATCAAATCAAATAAATACAACAAAAGCTGCGTAGGATGAACAATAGTGATTTTAGTCGATAAAATCGACTTAGCAGCCGATCTCTTAAAATGACTAGTATGAGAAATTCTGTAACAGGTTTGTTTTTTTGTCAATAACGATAAGTTCAAAAGTTTAAATAAAGAGATAATTTTCGAATAATATAAATCTTGGAATTCGAAAGCATCTTATCGCATAATAATCAGTTATTCTTAAATCAGGGTTGTGAGCTTACATAGTCTAATGGGAAAAAGTCATTAGACAAATATATGTCTATTGATAGTTTTTTATATGTCTGATGGTGTCTAATGGCTGTCTATTCACAACCCTGCTTAAATATACTTTAGTTACCTAAGTATTTTATGTTTGAAGACGAATTCTCAGAATTCGAAAATGTACATGGGTACACTATTTTTAACAACATTAATATTTACGTATTTTCTTTGTATGCAAGTTTGAAAAAGTTTGATTGCAAAAATTCGCGGTCCCGTGACTAATTCAATAACAATGATATTCTAATTTTCGTCTAAAAATTAATGTTTGCATTAATACAAAGTAGAAAAAATATATCTAAATTTTTTGTGCTGAAAATTTTTACATAACAACAAGGCCAATTTCCCTTTTTAATTTGAGTTTTTTGCGATTTCAGGTTTTTTTCGCCTTTATTTTTTTTTTTTACTTCGCATTTGTATGTTACACGCAGATCTTTCAATCAGATAAAAACATGTCCAGTTTAGCGCTCTTACCCTTTTTAGAATTATCCGGGGTCCTATTGAGAGGTTATCAAGTTTGAAAGCATTTAGATTCATATCGATATGGCGTAACGATAAACAGACTTGGTAGATTGATCAGATTTGACAGGTTCTCGATCTTGACAATATCGGTTTTAGGTCCAATGGTATATTAATTAACGTTAATTCTGTAATTATCAATTAATTACCATTGGGGTGTTTAATTTGTTATTTATTTATTTACAACATTGTACTATTTATCAACTAAAAGATTATAAATTCATCGTAAAATATATAGGTCTAAAATTTTTATAAAAGCCACTGGTCGTTAGCTACTGTAGTATATAGTATGATAATAACGACAATCTAACACTTTACGTATAACTTAGATCATAACATCATATGTTTTCTATTTTTGCTTGCTCCAGCTATCAAATACTGAGTGTAAACTACGTATGTATGTTGATAATTGATTTATTAAATCTGAAGAACAAGTACGCAAAGATCGATTTGACTCTAAACCCAATCTGGGCGAGACTATACCTATTAAGACTTGATTATTCAATGACGATTGTGAATCAAAGTTGATGATTTTCAATCTTTCTTTCTAAGATGACAAAGAAATGATATTCGGGATATTCTTATATTCTATTTGTTATATTTGAAATTAAATATTAAATATCATTAATTTCGTATATTGTAGATTCACGTTTAGGGGTAATAGATTTAGGGATCTAAATAAAATGTCCAATTTTGCCAATATGGCAAATATAAATATATACATAATAGTAAATAAAAAAATAGTAGTACTATAAAAAAAATATAGATTACATCATTATGCTTATCGGAAATGCCACATCCTCATTTGGCAAAGGTAATCGGAGTATTGTATCCGAATCGAACGATTATTTTGATCATGCAACGTTGATTTAAAGTTGCGTTACTTTAAAATGTTTAATTAGCATACGATTTATTGTAAATTAAATCATAAATAATTCTTTTACATAGCAAGTGGTCATTAAGTATGTTAGAAAAGTATGCTTGTTTATTTCAATGTTGTATGCTATAAGTGCATATGTTAATAATAAGGATCATCACTAAGCCATTGAGAAATGAAAATAAATTACAGAATTTCGAAGACAGCACGAAAATCAAATTTTTTTAAAAAGAAGTACAAAATCAAGTGATAATTGCTTTCACATTAGCTTGATAACTTGCGAGAGCAGTCTTCGCATGTGTCCAAGACGCCAATAAAGATTGTACATTAAAATTATTTATTTCCACATTCCCTTTCTTTGCATTATTAATAAATTGCTGCGTAACAGAAATGTGGTCAATTTGTCTTGCCCAAAAAATTTCGAAAAGCCCAACTTTATCATCAAAGAATTTCACATCTTTCATCACATGTTCAATATAGTCTGTGCTTTTCCTTAATTTTCCGATCTCATTTTCCTTTAATATCGCCTCTTGATTCAGATTCGAACTCAGCTTGCCTCCATAATACCATCCAAGAACACCACCTGTAATAATCGTTGCTATTAACGTTAAACCACCATCTAATTGTGGTGCAATAGCGTAAAGTGTTGCGTTTGAAAATGATCCGATACCAAAACCAATAGTCACACCCATTTTAATTGCACCTATTTTTTCACTTTTACTACGATACTTAATATTTGAAACTTCTTGTTCAAGAGTATATTGTTCTTTTTGAAGGTTTGATTTATAAGTTTGGAAATCATTTGAAATACGGGTTAAATTATGTGATATATCTTTGTAACCTTTTCGAATTAAATTACATTCTTTTAAAATTTCCGATATGGTTAATTCTGATTTCGTTGAATAAGATATGAATTCTGAAGTTTTAATTTTTTCAAAATTTACTATAATGTCGGCTGTGGATCGTGTTAAATTAGCACATTGTGAACTGCTTGCTTGTGTTAAAGTTCGAAAGGCACGTCCTTGTATTCCTATATCGTAGACCAACCGGGAAAGTATTTCATCTTTGATCGTCGATGCAGGGTAATTTGCAAAACGTTGAAGCGTAGCTTCTACACCTTTCAAATCAAAATTTGTAGGTGAAAGAAAATTCCATTTATCTTGAATCATTTAAGACTGTACGTTTACTTGTTTATGAGTTAGATGGGTTTTTAGGTGACTTTAAACGAAAAAAAAATATTAAATGATATTTGTCAGATAAGGTGCATGTACTTGGCAGATGTACCAGACAAAAACTTTTTTAATTTATATCTCTACATTATATTAAAGGAATAATATCGGACTTAATATATTATATAAACAATCTATTTTGCGTATAAAATAATATATTTTTATTAAATCCTTACCGAAAAAAATATTGTCTTAGAAAAGTGCTTGGCAAAGTTTGAATATACTGTATAATACAAATAATGATTCATGGATCTTTTTATATAAATGCTATACAGCAAATCGTTTACTGAGTTTCATGTGAGTTTTTATCATTATACTGTTATTTATATATAAATACATTTATCAAAATGCGCCAATTATTATAAATGGTAAAATCCGTTCGTAAAGCATTAACGCAATTAATTTTTCTAAATCATCGGGTCATTATTGTACCGATTATTATTATTTGTTATATATGCGTGTTGTTTATTTGTTTAATATATATATACATGAACGCTAAGTTGTACAATGCAACATAAAAATTTTTTATTGGTACTCATTCTTTACTAACAAAATTAAAAACAAACATTAAATTTTACTTAAAATTGGTTTGTTTGATGTTAACGTTAAATAAATATAACAAATTTTTGAAAGTTTGGAATCGTTAGAATTCATGTAAAGTTTTAAAATAATAACTAGGTATTAGGGTACGTCATTAAACGGCAGGCTGTATAATAAAAAATTGGCGCCGCCACAAAAAGAAAACTTTATCGGAGTTTCTAGCTTATTGCTACCGGACTTAGGAATAATGTTTGTGCATGTTATTAGCATATATAAAATTTAAACCCGATAGGTTTTTCCTTTTCCTTCTG